GCAGTTTGTAATCTGACTGGATCACAGAGGAGTTTAATTCACAATGCCCCTCTCTTTTCACATCATCCTCCAGTTCTTGTGATGCTTTAGCAATTTTACAATCTGTCCTTACTCCTATAGGCCTATCCTGATTTTTCTCTCCCTCAGCTGGCATCATCTTAATTTTTCTTTCTTTTTTCTTTTCACAGTCTTCATTTCTCACTCCTTTCCAACCATTCTCTTTATCAGTACATTCACTACCCTTTTCATGAATATGGTCTCCACGTCTATCTCTTTCTTTCTCTTGGCTGATGTCCGTGTCTGATTCTCGCTCTTTGTTCTGTAGGCGCAATCGACTGCGCTTAGAACGCAGGCGGTGGGCAGGGCTTCGCCTGCATGCAGGGGAGCACAGAGGCGGTGTGGATGCAATCTCTGCAAGTTGCAATTGTATGGCAGGGATTTTCTGTACAGTAGAAAAACCAGAGCTGTTTCTTCCTGCAACTATGTCTGAAACAGCAAAAAGAAAACCAGTTTATTAGTATTTGGAATTAATTACCATCTGAATTGTTATGCATACTGTTATGCATTTAACAAATTTGTTTATTTCATTTTAACAGCCTTTAACATTTACAATGACATTACAACTAAGTCTGGGTAAATAAATGTTTTGATAATTTTTCAATGTAAGTCTATGAGATGTTTTGCTGGTTCATACATCCAACTACTTAGATATAGTGCCTTAGCTTAGTAATAATGAAAAAAGGTGTGGTTAACATTGTAAATACTAAAACTATTAAAAAAGTATAAAAAAAACTGTTTTCATTAATTGAAATAAAGGTGAAATATATAATAAATTTAATTAGATGAAAAATTAAAAACAATGTTGCCTTAAAATAGATAGAAGTACTAAAATAACTAAAACTGAAAGAAAAAGAAATTAAAGACAAATATAAATATTTAATAAATAATAAAAATGACAAAGGCACACAACAAAATTACTACAACTAAAAGTTTAATTAAATCTGATAATATAATAAATAAAAGCTAATTCTAAATATTAATAATACTATAATCGTATATATAAATAATATAAAATAAGACTGGTAAATCTATTTTCTGTAACTATTCATGTTTGAGTTCACCCTGACGATGGCCTTACTGGTCTGTAATTGCAGATTCTGATGGTTTTCAGAATATTCTGGGGTCGGCATGGAAGAAGTCTCAATAGATGACTCGGATGTGTGTGAAAAATCAATCTGTGTAAATGTGGTGTGGTCAGAGTCTCTGTTCTGCACACGCCTGCAAGTGGCATCATGATGCTCTGCTCTCTAAACAAAAAACACACAACAGGTTTCTTAACAAGTTCAATTTTATGACAATTCAAGCTCTACTATACTGCAGATATCATTGTTTTAACATCAGTTTAACTGATTCTTGCATAATTACAATTACAGCATGTCTTTACCTGCAGTCTCTGTGCTGTCCTCTCATACTCTCGCTTAAGATGCTCTAGTCGTCTCCTCAGCTAAAACAATAAATTAATGACAAATGAAATGTTTTTATCTCTGTCATGTTCAGTAAAAAAATTAAACAATTAATAAATGTTAATCTTACAATAATAGTATATGGTACCTTTAAAAGTACTACTAGAGTACAGAGAGGATATCATATGTTAATACCATGGCACTACACCAAGACAAGTATGTTGAAAAAGGTACCATAGTATTTATATAGTACTCCAGTGTAATTCAAAGAATACCATGGTAACTGTAACTTAACTTACATGTCCAAAACAACATAGTATGACCATGCAGGTTAGTTTTCTAAACATTAATATCGGCTTTTGTCAAATGGTGAATTCCACAAATATATAAACATACGAACTTACTGTCTCTTTATCTTCGTTATGGAGAATCTCCTCTGACATCCTGTAAACTAATATGCTAATATATTATTTATTGATTTATTTACTTGATGCAGGTATACATTTGACATCAAAACATTGATTACGAGAATCTCAACTGTAAACAACTGTACAAACATCTGACTGAGATGCACTTATGAATAAACACCGGTTTGGCTGGCCAAACGATCATTTTAATGTACTAAAAGTTCGTTTACATACCCAGGAGAAAATTTTTACTCTCAAAAGTTGGGTTTGTCTTCTGTTTCTATCCTGACGAGACTCAACCTTCCCGCGAGTTCTGACTGCAGACAAAAACAATCGATAACAGATCACATTCTGTGAACTTTAGGATAATGTTACTCGATTTTGCTAATTGTATTACAATTGTACAATATAACAATAGACATATAACATATCATATAATCAGATTAACTTACCTCTAGTAAAGCAGAATTTAGATTTAGAAAGACGTTTGCATTATCCTTCTCGGGACTCTTTAGTAATGTCTGTTAGCAAACTTTTTTCTGAGTAGCATATCTCTCTATGGCTCTGCCTACTACTACCAAAGACTTTAGACATATATATAGTCTTAAAAGGATTTTGCTGCTTCTTTGTGAAAGGAGCCGAAGATTTGGGGCTGATGCGCTTGGATTCAACTTTTGTCTCGCATCTGTAAGGTTATCGACAGCACTGTGGTAGATTAAATATTAGCTAAAGGTGTCTATTTGCATTAGAGGGAACGGTGATTTCCTCAGTAGTCAAGTAGCCTACATAAACATCACGTGTAGTAGAATAATATAGATAAAATAGTTATATTAGCAGGTGTAACAGTTAGTTTCATTGAAGCTTCTGCTCATGACAATTGTTATTACTTAAATAAGCAACTTAAATTATAATTAATGTCCTTAAACTATGGCCCACCAACCCCCAATTTGAATTGAAATTACATTTACTTGAAATGAAATAAACGTTTACTGAAATCAAATATAGAACAACTTAAACTTATTTTATTTCAGCTAGTTGCCAAAGCAACATCACTCATTTTAATTTAGTTTAACTTGATGTAGGTCTACTAAAATAACTGAAACTAAAACTGAAATGAAAAGAATAATAACTAAATGGACATTTAGTTACAATACAAAAAGGAAAGTAGGCTACCAAATAAAAACAAAATCAATATATATATATATATATAAACTATGATAGTATCTCAAAATAACACTCGAAGGCACTGTAGCTATAATGATTTGTACTTTTTCTGAAGAAAATGTCAGTGGTGCTTGTCCATCTCACTTCATTGACACTGGTGCAGCCACCTTGCCACAAAGACTCCTTCAAGGAAAAAATAGGCCTACTTTTTATTACTCTAGAAAAGTAATAGCATGTTGGGTGCACAGCTTGGGTGCAGCTTATTACGGAAGGTTTGCATCAGGACATTCATTCTTTGCAAGCATGCACAGCAAGGGTCCATGCAAGGACGGTGGATCGCCATACGTCATGGTTCCTTGGAGGTGATAGTGTTGTGTACAATGTGCATTTGTGCAATAAAGAGGACGTCTACCAATATATTAATCCTGGGGATTTACACAAAATGTCAGCTCTCTGCTCTCTGACATTTGCTGCTGATGTCAAAAGGTCACTTGCACCTGAGACCTACAACAGCACAAACAGGCTTATTTGCTCTAATAAATATAATCACAACCACATAAATATTCTTTAAATATGTACTAATACTATGCTGCATTAAATATACTAATAAACAAGACAATGTTCACAAAAGGCAGGACTGAAAGCCAAATTAATCATGTCTCTTATGTTATTCAGATAGACAGAAATAAGCACTTTGACTGCATTCAGACTTGCGTCAAATGTTTGTGTGGAAAATGACAGTGCTCTGAGGTGGCCGTGTATTACCATCCCTATCTGATACCACGATTTGAATATGCATTGAATGGAAACTCACCTCTGACGTGATGAGCTCATGAAACACTTGTTTGGAGTATTACTGACTGACCTCAGGATGCTCTTCACTTAATGACAGTTAGGGTCATTTAGAGTAAAAAAACTTTTCGATAGTTTGCCAAACCACCTACAATTATCGGGCTGAGAAATCCTGATCGGAATAACATAGCACATATTCTAACCATACTATTTTTTAGCTATGTTTTATTTTTTTAAACAGATAAACTATTCAAACAGTATGCTTTTACTGGAAAAAATGTGGCATAGATTTACTTTGAATCAATTTCCACTCTGAAATTGCTGGCAAATTTTACAAATAATTAGGGAACAGAAAGTAGCCCATTGGATTAAATATGGAATTTTGAAGTAGAAAGACTGAAATATATTTTCTTGTAAAACACAATCCAGCTATCTTTGTTTTATTTAAAAAAAAATATATATATTTTTTAAATCATACTGTCACATGAAATTGGAGTTTGGAGGGGTCTTATATTGAGTGGTTTCATATTTTTAAATAAATAGATATGATCCACAAATAAATGTAAAGAGATTAAAAATGACTTTAATTGACAAATAACTGAAATGTGATTTGCCAATTTAATTCTTTTTTCAAATGTTTCAGCAACCACAAAAGTTAGGTTATTAATTTCACCTGCTAGACTCATGTAAACAGAAATCATGACTGAGGAGGTAACCAGCAGTGTCCTTGTTACATGTAGGCAACTCACTATAGTAATAACAAGTAAATTATGCATAATTACATGCAACTACGCCTAAACCAAACCTAATCCTAACCCTAACAGTAAGTATGTTGTTAATTAATACGTAAATATATAATTGTAATTTTTTAAATATATTTGCACATCACAAGTGGATCACAAAAATGTTTGTAAAAAAAATAGCCATTGGTTCTTAATGCACCACCAGATAACCTTTGCACGAGATTAATAAACTCTGAAATGTTCCTACTGACCGCTATCTGAACTCCTGAACGTGTAACTCTACAACACAGGAAACCCACGCACCCTTGACGTCACTCGCGTTCCCATTGGCTACAACTATGGTAGGACGCATTCAGGTAATATAAAGGCAGCATCCTTCTCTCTTCTCTACACTCAGTCAATACCGGTTATCGAGCACGCTCAAAGTATTAGATGTGTTATTGAATCTTTGCTCATCAAAAATCTCTTCGGCAGACTACTTAATAAAATTGACGACTGAAGGAATGTCTTTGTTGGTGCGGGAGCATCGGACTGTGCGCTTTGTGTTTCTGGGCGCCGCCGGGGTCGGGAAAACTGCCCTGATCACCCGCTTCTTGCAGGACCGCTTCGACTCCAAGTACACGCGCACGGTGGAAGAGCTTCACGCGCTCGAGTACGACACGGACGGCGCGACGGTGCGCATTGAGATCTTGGACACGAGCGGCAGTTATGCCTTCCCAGCGATGCGCGCTCTGTGCATCCGAACCGGGGACGCGTTTGCGCTTGTGTACGCCGCCGACGAGCCAGACTCTCTGGATGAGGTGCAGCGACTCCGTGAGGAGATTCTGGAGTTGAAAGGGGAGAAGTTTACAGGCATCACGGTGATAGAGAACAAAGCGGACCTGTGCAGTCGGAGTCGCCAGGCTACAGCTGAGGTGATGCGCGCGGTGGAGGAGGACTGGGGCTCGGGCTTCGTGGAGACGTCCGCGCGCACCGGCGAGAATGTCACAGGCGTGTTTCGGGACTTGCTTCAACAGATGAAGTTACCGAGCCGTGTGAGCCCAGCACTGCGCAGACGGACGCAGACAATGACCAGAGAGGTTACAGATACAGAGACGCGGAAAAAGCCTATGAAGAAGAACAACAGCTGTATCTTGTCTTAATGGACATACGTGACATTATTATATTTTGTATGCATCATACTGATGCTTGAGTGATCTGGATCAAATAGACCCCACATGGCCCTAAATGTTGGACAATTGAGGGACACTGAATGTTGATACTTTAGCATAATCATTTAAGGGTTTTCTTTAACTGTTATGTCTGATCTCTCTAACATAAGTCATCTTTAATGAGTGAATAAATGCAAATTATGTTTAAATCAGAATGTGTTCTACTCTGCATACTTTCTTAGCTTGTTCCATAAAAGGAATCAAATGTGATTTTTACTAAGTACAACCAGTGCACTTGTTTAGGAATGCAGGAGAGACATATTTATTCATTAATATGACAATATTAGCTTGAGTCAACGTCAGATCAAACACAAAATGATCACCTTGCTGCTCTGATCCCATAAGAAAGAAAATAGCACTCTGTGCATTTGACTTATAGAACATGTGAAGGGTTTTGCTACACGTGCCAAATGTCCTGACCTTTCTTCAGGAAATAAAGTCAGCTCTGCACAGATGGACTTTTTTTTTTTATCAGTAGGCCTACATATCAGTGTGCTCATGACTTAACACCATGTCACACCCTTTCTTTGTAATTGGGATCAGGCATGATGAATCATGGGCTCTGCAAATAATATCATCAAAACTTTAATGCTCCAAAAATAAAAACAATGCATTGTAGTTATTGCCAATAAGTTTGAATTCATGGGCGATAGTTTGTGGCTGTTTTGTGGCGTATCAACTTGGGTTAGTTTATCCAAAAATGCTGTCATCAAATACTCACCATCATGTAGTTCCTCCACAAATGATATGTTTGATAAAATCTGAGAGCTTTCTGGGCGGCAGTGGCTCAGTGGTTCATGTGGGTTGTCTACAAACTGGAAGATTGGTGGTTCAATCCCTGGTTCCACCTGACCAAGTGTCGAGGTGTCCATGAGCAAGACACCTAACCCCAGCTGCTCCTAACGAGCTGGATGGCGCCTTGCATGGCTGACACCGCCGTCGGTGTATGAGTGAATGGGTGAATGTGAGGAAACATGTAAAGCGCTTTGGTGGCCATTGGGCCTGTGAAAGCGCTATATAAATGCAGTCCATTTACCATTTCTGTCCCTCCATTGACAGCTACGCAACTAACACTTTGATGCTTCAAAAAATACACGATCGTTTTATTTAATAATAATAATACATTTTATTTATAATGCACTTTTCTATACCCAAAGGGCTACAAACAGTTAAAACAAATGAAATACAAAATTTAATAATACAATACAAAAACAACAAGTCAAAAAATGCTTAACATTGCAATACAACTTATAAATACAATAAAATACTAATCATCTCAATGTGTGTTGGCAATTTTAAAAAGATAAGTTTTTAACAACTTCTTGAAACTGTCTAATTTGGGAGCATTTTTGACAGTAAGAGGAAGTGCATTCCAAACAACGGAGAAGGCTCTCTCACCCATGGATTTTAATCTACAGGCCGGCTGCTGAAGAGTTAAAGAATCAGCAGACCGAAGAGAACGAGAATGCACATAAAGCTAAGTCACAGATATAAGAAGGGGCCATTCCATGCACTGCTTTGTAAGTTAAAGTGAGAGTTTTAAAATCAATACGCGAATGAACAGGAAGCCAGTGCAGACTGGACGCCTGCAATGTGCTGACGCGGTGAAGTGAGAACACTTGCTGCTGAATTCTGGCGTTTGATAGATTTGCAGGTAAACCTACAAACAGAGCATTACAATAATCAATCCTGGAAGTAAGAAATGCGTGAATAAGCCTTTCAGCATCTGGCAATGTGAGGAAAGGTCTAATTCTAGCAGTGTTTTTAAGGTGATGGAATGCAGATTTTGTAATAATCTTAATGTGTGAGTCTAATGTGATGATGAGCATAAAAAATTACACCAAAGTTACACGCAAGAGTAGGTGGAGCTATGACACTGTTGTCCATTATCAAATTAAAATAGCTATACCTTTATGGATAGCAGCTGGCGTATCAATGAGAAGAACCTCTGTCTTTGAACAGTTTAATTAAAAAAACATATATATGGTGCATCCACATGTTTATATCCTGTACGCACTAAGAAAGAATTGAGGTGACATTAATATCAGATTTAGAGCTGATATAAATCTAAGTGTCATCAGCATAAAAGTGGTAACCTAAGCCATAATAATTCCTAATAATTTGCCCCAAAGGAAGCATATAAATGCTAAACTGCATAGGACCCTAAACAGATCCCTGAGGAACACCTGTTCAATGTCAGATTTATTGTTTCCCGAGACAACAAACTGGGAATGATCTGTATATGATATTAACCATTTAAGCACAGGACCAGAAATACTAAGCAAACTCTAAGCAAACTAAGCAAACTCTCAAGTTAAGCAAAATTATTTGTTAGTCAACGCTTCACAGGCATAATAGCACAACACAATCGTAACTGAAACACAAATGCAAAAAAAAAAAAAAAACCTTTGGTCTGCCAAATACGCATTCATATATCTGTAAAGACAGTTTGTCAAAATTAAGAATAATTTTAACGTTGGTACATGTACCAGTAGTTGCTGACCAAAGATAAATGACTATGTGTAGGTGGCAGTATTTCTGAACTGTCTAATTTAGCCTATTTATAATTTATTCAGCTTTCAAGGAGGCTTACATGTTTTATGCAAAAATTGAGTACTTCCTTTCTCACTGCAACCATGCAACCCACCTCTTTATATATGCTAAAATTATCTAACTGCCATGACAACCTATTAGAGAGACACTTATGCTGTTTTAAAAGTAGGTGTATGTGGACATTTGTGAATGAACTAGACCGGAGAAAGTCGTGAGTGCCAGAATGGAAAAGCTTTCATGAAAAAAGTAAACAACCTTATTAGGAAACACTTCACATTATTCAGAAAGAAACGCATTACATAGGCTAGCTAATCTAAGTCATGTCTTATTTTTATGGGTCGACTATCTGTATGAAAAAAAAAATACATTTGCATGTAATAATTTTTTTTCACATGCATTCATGAATGCTATGAACAAAGATATGAATTTTAAGTCATTGAGAAACAATTGAAGATCATGATACTGAATGAGACTAAAACAATATGCCAAAATGGTCCAAGATATTGTAATGCATATCGTTTGTTACTGCTCACTGACCTTGCAACATTATTTTGGTTTTGTCACAAGGGCACCTTTTCTGTTTATCTCTCAAAACTTTAGAACCTACACCCACACTTGTACAAACATAAAAACGTGTGCAATGATAGGTGACTATTTTTTCCCCTCCACAATCAAAAATGTGCCCTTATTTGACCATTCTCACACACAAACATGCACAAAGGTAAACAAAGCCTTAAAATCACGTGGGATAACTGGCTAGAAAAACTGGAGAAAGATCCTGAATTTACTTTTCAAGATTAGATACGCATGAATTAATGTGTATAAACAAAAAACCCAAAGTGCACGTGGCACGAATAAACAAATGGAATAACGTACAAAACCAAAAGATTAGCATCTATATAATGTGCAAATAATATACAGTAATATATATATATAGTCCTGTCCGCAATTAAATTATTTACATTTAAATTTTAATCTACATTTAATTAATAATTTATTTAATTATTACACAATAGTAGAGTTTATTGAGCATTTAAAACAGAGACCTGATAAAAATGTATGATTTATATTATAAATCATAAAACCCAATTGTCCAATGCATATTTCCCAAAGTTAAAGGGATAGTTCACCCAAAAATGAAAATTCTTTGATCATTTACTCACCCTCAAGTTGTTCTAAACCTCTTTGAATTTCTTTGATCTGCTGAAAACAAAAGAAGATATTTTGTAGAATGTTGGTAACCGAACAGTTGATGGACCCCATTGACTGTCATAGTATTTTTTTTTTTTTTAATAAATGAGTAAATTTGTGAGTAAATAATGACAGAATTTTCATTTTTGGGTGAACTATCCCTTTAAAATCCAGAGAACACAAATAAAGTTTTTCAGAGCGTGCACGCGGAGTCACATGATGCTTCGCTGTGTTTGGTCAGAATTTAAATCCCAGCAGCCAATCAGAGGCGGAGATAACGAATCGAGCACAATTCAAAAAGTAGCAGGGACTCACTGCATTCCCATCTGAGCTGCGGGCCGACACACTTATTTTATGCCCGTTTCATTTTTAGACTTTTCACTGAAATCCGACAGATGCGTTCTTTAGGGCAGTGAATAAAGGGTTTTAAGATTAAATACAGTGGTTACTGTGGGATTTCTAGTTGTTCAAGTTATTATTTGAATGTAGTTTTCGGTGCTTCGCAACGGATGTGGATGATTGGCGAATTGCATGCTGTTTCGGGATAAAGGAGCAAGAATCTTCGCCTCGGTTATTTATTTTTCAAGACCTTAGTGTGCCTTATTTTACTTAAACCATCTTGCAAAACCAACCAAGTGTGCAACGATGAGTGCTGGAATTGCAAAGACGGCGAAGCCATCGACTTTTGTCGATCCCAAATCTGCTCCTCTGAAAGAGATTCCTGATATTCTAGTGGATCCCAGAACCATGAAGAGATACATGCGAGGTCGCTTTTTGGGAAAGGGCGGATTTGCGAAATGCTACGAAATCACAGAAATGGACACAAAGGAGGTTTTCGCAGGGAAAGTGGTGCCGAAGTCGATGCTGCTGAAGCCGCATCAGAAAGAGAAAATGAGCTCAGAAATCGCCATTCACAAAAGTCTCGATAATCCTCACGTAGTGGGATTTCACGGTTTTTTTGAGGACGATGACTTCGTGTATGTGGTGTTGGAAATCTGTCGAAGAAGGGTAAGAACAGGGAAACCAATTTGAAAACAGACCGTCAACGGTCAGTATTCCTGTCACTGGCTGATAGTATGTTACAGCGCTTGATGCATTAAACGAATTAACGTTAAATCCTATTGAGATTCACAGGTATTATGTTATTAAATATGTAAATATTTGTAAGTGTTTATTCATCTTAATGTACGATTATGTTATATAAACTAAAACTAGTTCGACTCGCGTATGCCGCTAGTGGATTTTAAACTGGAGGATGTGACGTCAGTTGATTTTGTGTTTCTCGGAGATAACGTTTAAATCGAACTCCGTCATTTTTTTTTTTTTTTTGCTTTCATCAA